ACTTCTCCATTTATGCAGCTAGGAACATGAAATTTTGTATTACTTCTACCCGTTATCAACAGAAAACTTAGAATAAAAATTACAAAGATCGGATCACTATAACCTATAGCTCTCATACAACTGATTTTTCAGATATAAGATTTTTCGTTATAACTCCTCCATTTATGTAGCTAGACACATGAAATTTTGCACTGTTGTCACTTATTATCAAAAGAATACTTTCAGTGAAAATGGCGAAGATCGGGTCGCTACAACCTATATCCACCATACAACTAATTGTTCAGATATGAGATTTTTTGCCATAACTTCTTCATTTATACAGCTAGAAACATATAAATTCGCACAGTTTTCACTCAATACTAACAGAATACTTACAGTGAAAATAACAATGATCGGGTCACTATAACATATATCTCCCATACAACTGATTGTTCAGTTATGAGAATTTTCGTTATAACTCCTCCATTTATGCACCTAGGAACATGAAATTTTGCAATACTTCCACCCATTCACACCAGAATATACAGTGAAAATAACAAAGATCGGGTCACTTTTACATATAGCTTCCATACAACTGATTGTTCAGATATGCGATTTTTTGTTATAACTACTCCATCTATGTAGCTCGAAACATAAAATTTCGCCCTATTTTCACTCATTATCAACAGAAAGTTTACAATAAAATTAACAAAGATCGGGTCACTATAACCTGTTTATTGCTCCCATACAACTGATTGTTCAGGTATGGGGTTTTACTGTAAAACTCCTTTATTTGGACAGCTAAAACTGATAAATTTCGTAAGCTATTTTTTAAATAATAATACAAAGTCTACTGAGAAAATCGTAAAAATCTATGTTGTATAATCATAATCTCTTGTACCACTGATTGTTCAGATACCAGTTTTTGCGATATATGTATCTCCTTTATGAAGGAAGCTAAACCCATTAAATTGTGTTACCGGTTTACGTACCGATCACACAGTAGTGAAAATCACTTAAGAGCCTGTCAGACGTGGCAATATTTCCGTCTTTCGCACGCAATTCGCTGTCAAATTGAGAAAGAGAAATTTTATTTCGATGTGTGAACAGCCAGAAAGATCTTTCTGTCACCTTTCGGAAATCAGTTTCAGAAATAAAAGTTGCAAGGTGGGACTGCAACTGCAAGAGCGAAAATCGATTTCGGAAATATATTTCAACTTGCTCGTGCTGCACTAGCAATTTTTATTTCTTCTGCAAGTGCTGTCAAACTAATCGAGTGTTGCCGTGTGGCCCTGATCGTGAATTTGTGTAAAATGATAAAAAATATCGTTGGAATCAATATCAAAAATGCTTGAAATATATTATTTTGCTTAATATACTTAATTGTTAAATTATTGTTTACACGACAAATATGTTAATTATAACCTATATTTTCTCGCTTTTACAAGAGAAATAGCAAACAAACGACAACCCCACCGCCCATGGTTGCATTTTAGTATCGAGAAAGATTGCCAGAAACTCATTCGCTGTGTGAACAGCCAAAAAGCGATTTCAGAAATTTCCTCCTGCAATTCGCCGTTCGGAAATAAAAACCTCTTTCGAAAGACACTTCCCATGCAAGGTGTGACTGCTCATGCAACTGATTTCTCAATTTGACAGCCTTTCCGAAATTTATTGCATCGAAATATATTGCCACGTCTGACACGCTCTTTAGATTGGTGCTATATAAGGTATATCTTCCATACTTCTGATTGTTTAGATATGATTTTTTATATATGTATCTCCTCTATCTATGCCTGCTGTGAATACATAAATTTATTCAAATGCAGTAATCTGTTAAAGTAAAATTTTCAGATGCTCATGAAAGGTATGAAGTCTTCGGTATAGCCGAAGACAGCGCTGCTCTTACTTGTTACGTCATACGTTCGTACCAAGAATATCTATTTGGATCGCGATCCAAAATGAGAAATAGTAGCACTGACAAATTTAGTTCAATGAAAATATCGAACTAGTGAACTAGTTCATTGAGATGAACTAGTTCTTTAGTTCATTTAGTTCAAGAACTAGCCAAGTCTAGTATATATGTAGATAATTTTGTATAAGCCCAAGTGTGCATACTACAGTATTAAAAAATGATAATTGAGGCCATGAGGGCAGAAGTGGCCTAACTCACATTTTTTTTGGTAGTTAACTTCTTACAATATTTTCTAGTGCTATAATTGGTATTCTTTAATTTAATGGTACGTTATGTAGCTTTGTATCTTAATATTAAGAAACGAGCGACTTTTATTATTAAATTCATCACATTTGAGACTATTTTAAGAAGGTAAGTACAAAAAAAAATTGGGTGAAGCCACTTCTGCTCTCACGGCCTCAATTCCACTTTTTAGCTTTCGATAAATACATAAGCTGACCAACCGTCCTCCTTTGAGGAGGATTGTCCTCCTCAAACGTGATTTGTCCTCCTCAAAAATATTGTCCTTCTCTGTCCTCCTTTTGAGAAAAAATGTCCTCCTTGTCCTCCTTTCCAAGTCTTATAGCAGTGATGAACTTTTCTAAAAATTTCGTTCTTCAACATTTAGTTAAATGATGTAAGCTTTTGATTCAACTAACCGCCTGTGAAAGTTGAACAGTACAAACGCCTTTTGAGCCTTAGGGCCAAATTCACAGTGCGTAGTTAACTCAGAATCGACAGTTAACTAAAGATTTTTGTACTGAAAACTGTCGATTCTGAGTGAAATACGTACTGTGAATTTGGCCCTTAATCAATAATATTTAATACGGCTTTCCCAATGCATGCCTATTACGTAGTTTGTTCTCTCATTCGTAATTCACACTCCTATTGCCCTTGGAATTACGTAATTCTCCACACTAAATTTTGAGAGCGAATTACTTCATTTGGTGGTAATTCAGATCCAATTACCAAGCGAATTACGAACAAATCGATGCCGTCTCAAATTTTTATGGGACATTTATCGAAACCAGTTCACAAATCAAAACTGGCACTTTTTATAAGTACAAAAACCAATTACTTACATTTTGCATAAATTTTGTAGTGAAGAAAACAAAACAAAACACAGAAATATAGAACTGTAAAATCGAATTAAGAATGTCCGCTTGGGAAAGGAGTAATTCGCAATCGTTATTGGAGGATCGAACAAATCAATTCCCGGTGTCGAAGGTAAGCCGTATTACCCTTTATAACACTGAAAGACTAGATAACGACGGGTCTTCACAGGGAAAATTAGTGCCTACCATTTGCCATTTTATTTGCCAGATATGTATAAGTTTTATCAGTGGCAATATTTTTGGCCCGCTTTTCATCTGATGGCAAGCTCGTCGGCGAGTCGATACGAAGTAAACTACTTCTTACTTATACATATATAAACATTTATTAATTATAGTTTACGAATTTATTAAAGAAACAAACGTCCGCTCAAAATGTTAAAGCGCCTTCAAAATGAAATGCTTAAAAATTAGTAATGAAACCTCTTCGATGTCTGTCAAATCATCAATGTTTTGACTTAACATCGGACTCGTAAAAACATCGACACACATCAATGTTTGAAGCCACGACCATCGATGATCTCGATACATCGATGTTTTTTTACATCCCTACAATATACACAATTACCGGCAGTTTAATATTTCATCATATTTTTTGTATCGCGTGTCATTGCGGAATTAATTGTTGGCTGTGAAAGTATAATCTAATTTTAAACGTTTTAAAAAGGGATTTGCTGGATAAAAATACAATACAAAATTAAATATTAAAGCTGTGGATATACTATGCTTTTAAGCATACAATGTTTTTAACATCGCCTACGCTGCGCCTTGCGCTGCAATGTGGGACTTGATAAATAGCCAATTTCATCAGTTACCTATCAACGGCAAACCTAAGCCAGGAGCACTACTTAATGTAATTTAAAGTAAGTACATGAATGACTTTTCACTTAAACTTGCTTTTCAGACGCCTTATAATTTTCCTTTAATTTATAGTCGTCAAGGAAACAAACATCGATGAAGCTGCGAAAAATATTAAAATTTTTAAGAAAATAAAACCAGTATTTTTTTTATTTTATTTTATATCTTATTATATTTAGTTCTGCTGAGGCTCATAGTTTAACACTTTGCATCAATATACACTATTGAATGAATCGTAAGCAATAAAAAAATATGTAGTATAAAACCTATTCGTATGCATATAAATAAAATACTTAAGTTTTATTATACGTAAAATAACCCTTTTTATTAATTCTAAACTACAGTGTAGTCAGAAAATTCTTCTCTTTCGTAGAACGTAGATTTATTTTATTATTAACACTATAAAAAAACATGACTAAAATTATAGCACAACACTTTCATTATATTTTAATAAATAATGTTAAGCGTTTTTGCAAAACGTTTTGTTAAACAAAAGCGCCTAAAATTAACAATAAAAACAAAATAAAAGTGTTGTGTTAAAATTCGTTATATGTTTTTTACAGTATGGAGAATGAAAGCAAAATCGCACTTTCTTGCAACATGCAACGCAGTGTACTATTAACTTGTTTGACTTATGATTAGAGAAACTTTGAATTGTAATTTATTCGTTATTTATGTGTTAAAATAAATATAAAAAATGTTTTGTGTTTTCAATGTGGAGAATTTGTCCTCCTGGAATGTTAAAAAATTCTGGTCACCTTATAAATACATATTTATTTGAACGCGTTTTTGTGGAAAATAACAAAAGGTGAAAAATAAAGGCAAAAGCTGTTTCAATACATGTGCATATAAACAGGTGTATATGAATGTAAATAGCTTAACACGAGAATTACTGAATACCTAAACTGAAGTGGGAACAGACAGTGGTATGATATTATTAAGTCAAATATGCTGATAAGTTTAACTAGCGGAAATTGTAAAATAATCTGAGTATTAATGTTTAATAAATAGTTGCTGCGAGCAAATACCATTTTGAAAAAATAAAAAATAAAGGGAGATAAAGCGCATCCATAAACAAATAAAAAATACTTTTTCAGGAACTGTGTCGAACTGCAGAATATTTCATAATATATTAATCAAAAAACAGCAACAACAACATTTTTGTGTCAAAAAATACAAGATATTGAGTGCAAATTATAACAAACACCAACTTGTTTTCGTAAGTTCGTAATGAAAAATAGAGGCAGGCTGAAAAGTGCATCGCCAGCAATTCAAAACAGCAGCCCCATCTCCCCCAGAACTAATACCAACTCTGAGTTTAACATCAGAAACACCTGCAACAGTCCCATTCCCATCATTAGTAGCGCGGCAAATGGTACCACTAATAGCAGTATCACCAGCGGAAACGGAAGTGGAAATGTCAACGATGGCGTAAGCAGCATTTCCAGCAGCCCTGTGGACATTGAGAAAGGCACTGGCAATCTGACATTGACAAGAGCAATGCAACTTCACAAATCCAACGTGCAAAACTCGTCGCCCAACAGTTTCAACACCACAAATGGCCATCAGCCCTATCCGTCGATAACGTCCACATATTGGCTGCCGCCGCCAAATACGGCGCCATATTTAGTTCCAGGTAATTAACGCAATTCGCTAACAAGCTAAAAACTAAATTTAACATTGAAAATAAACACGCACAAATAAGTACCTGTACTTAGGTTGGGTTAGGTTAGAGTGGCTGCCACCGCGCAGAGCACGGAGGCATGCGTCGGCTGGAAAAGCATCTTGTGGCGGAAATCATTTGCTTCTTTCCCTCCCTTAGTAATTGAACCACCGAATGCGTCTAAGCAATCTAAAAAGTACTTGTTGAACAAGTGCGTTTCAGCTATGATGGGACATTAGCAAAGACAATTTTTCACAGGCCAACAAAAATGGGAACAAATTTTGTTTCCTAAAATGTAAAGCTGTGTTCGATAGTCCTTTTTGTGCTGATTACGAATCTGTAAGTATAAAGTTTTCATCAGCTTTAGATTTTGAGAAAAACGTGGTCAAAATATCCAAAAATCGCGTTTTTTGCAATATTCGAGAAGCTCTAGCAAAAAGATGATAGAACCTTCCACTTAGGCTTAAATTAAAGCTAGAACTCTCGACTACTATCATATTGCATAGCAGAGTCTTAAGTCTCTGCAACTGAAGCAAAAATCGTTGGTGGGTTACCCTGACCAGTTTATGGGGGTTTTGGGGGTTAAAACCCACACTCCCCCCGAAATTTTTGGATCGACTTTAAATATTTTTATTTATATTAGATTTACTTATTTTATATTTATTAACACGTTCCCTATCCAATGAATCACATGTGTTACATGGGACAAGTTTTGTCCCACCAGTCCATGAATGATATGAGCAAAATCAATGCTGACTTCAGATATATTTTTCTAGGTTTTTGGCAAAAATATAGTATTTTTGTGTGGAAACATGCAGTAAACAGCTGTTGATTGTATATAATTCATGGAACGTACCTTATCAAAAACTATTTCCCACGCTTATGTATGTATCATAAATGAGATATAAAATACTTATTTTTTTTTGCATAAGGACATAATGTATGCTTTTAGCATAATTCCTGAAAAAAGATGTATTGTATGGGGACAGGCAACCTGTTGAATCATCATCACTCTGCATACAAAAAAAAAATCGGAATTATAAAATCTGTTATAACTTAACACCCAAATTCATAAAAAATAAAGAAGACTTTATGTGCTTTGTAAATCGAAAATTTGTATGAAAATGTCACTCTATAAAGCTCTTTAAACCTATTTTATTTTTTAGAATAAAGCCATTAGGCTTCTGCAAAATATGTCGGAAAAATATTAAAATTTACTCTGAAAAACATCCAAAAATCCGGTTTTTAATAAATAAAATTAGCCCAAAAAAAAGTTTCTCAAAAAATCACCTTAGGTGATGGAGGAGCTTTTACTTAAAAGGTCTGCGTAAAAATGTTTAAAAATTGTATCAACGGAATCAAAATAATGAGATTTTTTGGGAAATGAAACGACTGTTGACTGTGGAAGGGGGGAGGAAACACCTACGTTGAGGAATGTTGTTGCGAATTTAAAATCAAATTGCCATACACATGTGCACTAATGTCTGTGTCCGTTTTATAGTTGATCCTCTTGTCATTAGGGGATATTATCCACAAAATTTTGGAACAGAACGTATGGCCCACGTACATAATTAGGGTACTTATTCAAAACTTTTACAAAAGGACCACTAAAGAGAAGACCACTGATGAGAACAAAATATATAAATCCACTACATACATATGTTCCGGGTATATCTGAGAGGATCATTCCAACATATATGACAGAGAAAAGGTCAAAATAGCGTTCACACACGCAATACACTAAAGAGAATTTATAGCAACACCAAAGACATTATTCCTAGATACCAGAAATCGGACGTAATATATAAAATTTCATGTAATGGCGATTGGTCCTAATATGCGACAAAGTATATGTGGTGTAAACAAAACCTAAACTCAAGACAAGGATTTTCGCACACAAATCAAATGTTAGATTGAGCAACAACACAACGGACAATAAGACGGCCTTTTCAGCTCACTGTAGAACATGGGTCACTATCAGTGTTGCCACTGTTGGTCTTTTCCGACCAAATCTGGTCGCTTCTTTTTCATTTGGTCGGTTGGTCGGCAAAGTAAGAATTTGGTCGGAAAGTTGAATCAAGCTTTTAAATTTTTAGTTACAAAATAAATATTTCAAACATAATTTTGCATATAAATATTTGCCAATTGTACATTTAAACATTTGGCAATCCTGCCCTTAAAATGTTCACTAAAAATGTACATGGTAACCATGTGCCTTGATGAAGAAAAGAGAAAAGGAAAATGTCAAAAAACCAACGTAAAGCCAAACGCGCGAATTTCTTGCTTCTACACAACTGCTACAATTAATTTCAAACGTCAAAAAGCCAACGTAAGCTGAACGCGCGCATTTCTTGCTTTTGCAATTAATTACAAAAGGGATAAGTAAGTGCACTTAACAATGAGCTAACAATTTTTGGTATTACCAATTTTTACTCTTTAGATTTATCAGCAAGAAGCCAAAGCCGTTTTACAGTGCAGACGAAAGTCGAGCTTCTTGTAGCACAAATTCGCAGCTCCCCGAAGATATTTTTGGTGAAAAAGGAGATGATGCTTTGTGCAGGTAACTAAGATATTTTGTTTGAATAATGTGCCACGCCCTGAAAAAAGGAGGATATATAGGGGAGTAGAGACGGGTCACTACATTTCAAAACTGAAAACCCCGCCCGCCGGAGGCTTATGGTTTTAATAATAGTTGCGTTCCAGATGCTTCACGATTTGCAGGAAAAGCTTTTTTCGCCATTAATAAACCTTATTGAAGGTGGCCACCTGGAACAGCTTCCTGTAAAAACCTGCAAATCGTGAAGCATATGGAACCCAACTCTTATATCGAAATAAAGTGATAATTCTACGTTTGATATACATTCATATGTACATATGTATGTATGTACATCGTATATGAAACTGGTGACAAAAAGTTAAGAAAAACTTAAATTCTATTATTTGCTAAATAGTGTGATAATAATTTTTAAAATAACACTCACTCCACATCCTCATCGATTTTCGTCCAAAAAAATCCTGATACTCTGCATAAAAAGCAATTGATGCATTATATCAAAGCCAACCCGATATGTTTTTTGAATTCTTCTGATTATATATATATTTTTTTTAAGTGATGCAAGCGGCAAACAACAAAAACGAAAGTTCCGAGCAGAATGGTTAAAAAATTTTGACTGGTTGCGAGAAAAAAATGGAGGCGCCTTTTGTTTTGTTTGCTTCAATCAGCTAGTAAGCCACTGCGGCCATCTCAGGTCGCAAGAGAAACCGTCATCCACATTCAAAGCTACGAATCGCAGAAAAAGCAGTTTACAATAGAAAAATTTTACAACGCTGAGCAGCAAAACCAACAGCAGAAAGTTAGAGAAGCCGAGGATGCACTTGTCATGTTTTGCATTACGCACCACCTCCCATTGCTGCTAATGGATTACCTGCCTGCTCTGTTGGTGGAATGCTGCCCCGACTCTTCCATAGCGAAATCGCTGAAATGTGCCAGAACAAAATCAATGCAGGTAGTTGATTGTATAGCTAAGCAGGGAAGTCAAAAAGTAATATCTACTTTAAGAAATAAGAAATTCTCCTTAATTGTTGATGAGACTACGGATGTGTCTACCACAAAAAGCCTAGTATTAGTTGCTCGATACGTCGATAGCGCTCATGTGGCACAAGATCGCTTCATTGCATTGCTAGAGCTCACCAAAGCAGACGCAAATTCTATTTTTAATTTAATAAAAGATTTTTTTACTAAGAATGAAATTCCCATAAGAAACCTAATTGGTTTGGCCACTGATGGAGCCAATGTTATGGCTGGAGACTTGGGCGGGCTGAAAACATTATTGAGTGCAGAAACCGATTTATTTTATATAAAATGCACATGCCACTCACTTCACCTTTGCTCAAGCTACGCTTGTAAAAAATTGCCGAAAAGCATTGAGACACTGTGCCGCAACATATATAGTTTCTTTTCCCACAGTCCAAAGGGATACATGAACTGAAGGAATTTCAGGACTACTGTTCGGTAAAAACCCACAAAATCTTGGGCACATCTCAAACACGCTTTCACTAGAAAGCGTTGTTTTAAGAATAGTTGAGCAATGGGATAGTTTGAAACTTTATTTTATTTCCTGCTTTTACGAAGTAAACGGTATGCGATCTGCAGACCTGACAGAAGGAATGTGTTGCACAACCAAATGCTATTCTTTATTTCTATCGTATATTTTGCTCATAATTACCAATCTTAACAAAGAGTTCCAAGCTGAAAGCTCTCGTTTGCCATACTTATATGCAACTGTCGAAGCACATTATCTCTTAATTTAGAGTAACTTTATTAAAAAAGATGCGGTTAGTAACAATATCAATATTGGTTTTAAAAATGAAAATATTCATCTTAAAATATCTGACATTTTTGTTGGAACGAAAGCTGAGATGTTTATGAAAAGTAATGTCAATTGTTCTGAAATTCTTGAAGTTAAAACCATGATAAAAATATAGTAAGGTAGAACCGCTGAGAGTCACTTTTAAAATTCTTGACGTTTCCAAACATTTTAATTTTTAAATGTACTCACAAACTCACACACACATTTTCATTTCCAATCTCAAGCAACAACAATTTCGAACAATTTAAATTTTTTATTTTCCCTTTTATATGATTTTAAAATGTTGGCAAACTTCAAAAAAAAATCATGGCCGACAAATTGAGAGAACGGTTGTACCTTGCTATGTTTTTATCATGGTTAAAACCAATATATTAAAGTTTTACATAGAGTTTTTGGACCAGATAAATTTAAGATTTGATTTCAAGCGGGAAGATATAAAACTTTTACAAATAATAACACCAGCTAAGGTAGTTTCTAAAGAAGATTTACCAATTTTACCTCTTTTGTTAAAGTTTCCCCATCTTATAGATTGTGATCCTGATATAATAACCACGCAGTGGAATTTACTGAGGCTAAGTGAGCTTGATATTTCCAGCGATCTGG